AATCTTGCATCGCGAAGCAAAAGTTCGTTATATATAAGTTCCCTTGTCTGCAATGAACAGTAGTGAATAAAGCTCGTTAATCGTGGAGTAGCGAGGACCTATGGTTGACTTAGAAGGAGCAGGTGATCCATCACTACGAGACCGCACCTTGACGTGGTGTGATGACCTGTGCACCTCTCTGGCCCAACGAGCTACACAGGATGGCTTTTTTCAAGCCGAAGATCTAGTCATGCCTGGAAGGTCGAAGGGTAGAGGTCAGACGAAGTTTAGTCTCCTGGTCCTCCGGGTTGGAGGTTTGACTAGAATTTGTGTTTCAGTCGGTAAAAAAATAGTGGAAGAATAATCAATCCAAGTAAATGGGCCTCCACTTCGCTTCACCCGCTGCCTTGCGGTTAGATTCTTGTCAGAACTAAAGGGTATGGTTGAGAACCCTAATCGTTCTCCTACTTAGTGGCTGGACACCCTAGCAGTACCTGTCCATCAAACCCCAGTGCATATGCATTGCGAGTTTGGCAGCGATCAGTGAAGTTAGCTTCTCTGTATTTTGCTGTACGATAATAAATAAACGATAATCAGCAGGTGATCCACGCGATCGGATACAGAGTGGACTGATACGGTAATACAAATATTCTGCAGCACTGTCCTCATTTATATCAAAACCATATGACCCGAGAGATGTACTCGTTGCATTTCAGTGAGCGAGGAAAGCAAAATGCTATCACGTTGATTCTGGTTCGTGTGAATAATTACACCCGATCTCGATCAGTCGTTAAGCCATTAAGTCTTAACGAAACACATTACCAGGAGAATAGCCCGGGGGAAGTGACTATTCTCGAACAGCCATTGCAATCAGATTTGGCAGTACCTCATTAAAGTAAGCATGCACTTTATACATGGTTCAGTAGATACTTTTCTAAGGATAATCTAATTAGAACAACTGAACCATAGGCAGATGAATTCCGAACACAAATAATTACTCGATCTTAAACGCAATTGTTTATGTTGTGCCAGATTTCATTGAAATGTTTGCTGCATCACTGTACGATCAGTACTGCTTCATGGTTGTGCGGTCCGCAAATTGAGAGCAGACGACCTCCATCATCATCTAGTGGTTTTCGATAATCAATGCTTACGTAGTCCGGCCAAGGTTGGATGGAGTGAACGAGTTAGTAAACTAGAAGTGTTCGGACATTCATCGAACACGAACTCGCTATCACATCGAATTCAGCTCAATAGGCTCGTTGGTTAGGACACATTTTAGGTGTGTCCAACGGTCGCCTGCCACACCGTGCCTTATTTGCAGCGGTGTTGCGGACTGGAGGAAGCCAAGTGGAGGCCAGCAGATGACGTGGAGGTGAGGTATGAGGAAATACACAGAGCGACTGGGTAAAGTAGGTATCTTTCGTCTTCCAGGTTGGGATCCAAAAGACTTCGTAACCGCATGATTGATCATAGCAGCAGATCGATAGCAGTGGCAATCATTTATAACTTCTTATCAAACCAGAATGTTCGAAAGTGAGGACGTACAGTCAGGATGTGCACTGTGCTGACCATAGAGGTTCGCTTTCTTACCCCATCCCGAAAAATAGGTTAAACCCCTATCCTCCTGAAGCATTCACAATCACCCATATGCATTATGAGTTTGGCAGCGATCAGTGAAGTTCGCTTCACTGTACTCCTCTGTGCAATGATGACAATGCCCTACAAACAAGTCGTTGTATTTATACAAAACTTCGTTGGACAGTCCGAGTACGGCTTTCAGTCCAAATTGGCCAAGTGGTTGTTCCCGTGGTAAGTAGGAATTCTCCACCACGTCCTCGGTTCTTGCATCAACGATGGCTAACTCAGGCTACTGAAAGCGTAACGTGTGAACCAATCAAATGAACGAACGGGACTGGGATATAACAAACAAACACACAACTTTGTGGCCCCATATTCGAAGAGCTCAGCAGAAAAATTCCAGTCGATCAATAATCACTTTCAAAGCATTAACATGCAACGAAGACAATAACACAATTTGCTACGGATTACAGATTCCATTGCACGAACATGAACCCCATGGCTTTTACTGTCGCAGATGAAGCTGAAATTGGACAGTTTTCAGTCACCAGAAAAAAAACATCAGTAACTTCCAAAGAATGTAAGGGTGAATGTATTCTATTGAATGAAAAGCGCCTGGTGCCCCGTTAAAAACAACGTATGATAGGCGAAAAACTGTTATAAGACAAATTCAGCAACTGGACATTATGATTATACAAGAGTTATTCGTTATTCGATTTGATCCAATAAGACCATATATATGTATAGAGAGAGAGAAGCGTAACCAAGTGTTTATCATTACCTTCCCTGGGCAGCACAGTGCATAAAACTGAACTCTATTTGTTCCGCTTACTTCGCCACCTAACTTAGTTCGGTGTAATACACTCGAAAAATGCACCCAGCTTGCGTTCCCACGCAGTGCGGCAGCGGGACCCATTTTGGTGAGACATTAAACAAAAAAAAACATTAATATGTCGACGACAGTACACACGACCGGATAGAGTTCTTGTTCTTATGTACAACTTACTTGGCTATCATTGAACTGATCAAATAATCCCCAAAGTGAGTACACGCTTTTGGCTAGTAGCATATCTGCGTCTAACATGATTACCTGGAAAAAAAATGTAGAACAACAAGGCAAAAAACAGATGAGCTAGGGTCGGAAATTGTAAGTTTACTCAATTCATTGGGTTCATCAGTCTCTATTTGGATACACGTGACAGACAGGTCGCAGGAGCATGAGGTCGAATAAATATTGCATTTTCTAAGTTAAGCACCACTCAGACAGAAGCGAAACCTTACTCAACATCTCTCTCTCTCTGATCGCGCGTAGCAAATCTGTGTTCTGCTGATACAATTCTCAAAAAATTAAAGCCCCTCTAACGAAATAAGTACCCGGATCAGACTATGGGCGGAGATACATTGAAACGTGTGCAAGCTTTTCACTGAGCGGCAAAGCGAACACGAAATTCCCGTTGCTGCCATATTTCCCTTCACTTGTTCCGACAGGCCAATTCACAATGATCGGATAAGCAGAAGCTTGACCCAGCCAATTCGCGGGCACGGTCCGATCAAGTGGCATACTGATTTCACAAAGTCAAAAGTGCGACGTGTCCACTCACACCTTACCGAATCAGGTCACAGAACTCTTCGACCCCGTCCATCGGATCCATAAGCAGCAATATAAGCCACCAGTCAAGGAAGCTTACCAAGTGATGGACAATTCATACCAATCTAGAGGAATCGAAGAGGCCGAGCAATCGTTCCAGTGGGCGATCGCGATTACTGAAAACCCTGCGGCAAACCCAGTGGTGTTTCAACAACCGTAGTCTATCTTTATCCTGTTCCAGAAACGGTCAAGCCTCTGTACCACACAGCAGCTCCCGCCGAATTGTTAGAGCACACACTTAAACCGAAATATCCAGGCCTAAGTTGCCGGTTTCCTTGAGTGAACAGTAGATACCTGCGACTATTCTGCTGCTCGCTCCACAATAGCGCGTAATAAAACACGTTTGATTGAACGTTTTTGTGTTGTAAAAAGAACGCATCTGAAACGAACAACGATGCTCCTCCACGCCTGTCGTCTTTTAGCATCTTCAACAGTATTACATACTATTAACGACACATGCAAATGCTGTGTATGAGACATGATTGTTAACCAAATTACTAAACTGGAGACCGAACCTTGATTTCGCAGGGATCAAACACTCAGTTGATTTCATCGATGATGAAACAACTTTAGAGCTTAATAACTTTCTATTCCAATTTTGTGTGCTTTTATTTTAATTTGAAACGGACTAAGAAAAAGCGAAGCTGCAGGTGAGGAGCATCGCCAATAATTCTCGACTCCCACTTATATCATAAGCACGAATCTGGAGTTTCACTAATAAAAGTCATGCTGAAGTGTGCTACCTTGGCAACTGTCTCGTCTTCTATTGTTTTACGAATAACTGACGGGGTGGGGTGGGGGGAGCTAAAAAGAAACGAGTGAATATGCTGTGGAAATTCCGTAAATCGGAAACAATTTCTATCACAAGTCGATTGGTTTTAGTCTTCAGGATGGAGGGCAGAGGGAAGGGTGCGCGTGTAAGCCCCATCACCACTGGGTCGAAGGTTCGATCACAAGTGTTCGTTCCTCCATAGCCCCTTCAGCTGCTCATCCAGACGCCGTTTGAAAGCAGCGTCTGTCACCTCTTCCACCACAATCGCTGGAAGGGAATTGCAGAGTGTTGTTGACCTACGCGAGAGTCGGTAGACTACCGGAAGACCAACTGACTGAAGTCTCCGCAACGTGAGAGAGTGCCCCCGCATGCGGTCCTCTGTCCATATAGGGAAGTACTGTTGCAGATCCGGGCCAATATCACCTCTCAGGATCTTCATCAGGCAGATGAGGCACCGATACGCAACTGGGAACAGACCAGCAGCCTGTAGACGACCTTCATAACTGGTCCCGCGTAGTCCAACAGCGAGTTTATTACGTCACACACTAGCAATAATGAAAACCATACACGGCAAGGAATATGCGGGTGAACTTGGGTCAGAAGACCGCGCGTTAGTGTCGCGTACATCAGCTTATATGAGTACAGAAAGAGCTGTGTATGTGTGAATGTCTACCTGCATTACATAGGCAATAAGCTCGCAGTAGACGGACGATAAGTGGCACGTGTGGATTCAGGCCCGTTAAAAGGTTGGCACAAACATTCACGGAGGATAGGCTCAACGCACCACCGTCCCTTGTGCCCTCTCTCCCCTTTTCTATTCAACTTTCTCATAGATTTGGTTATAGAAACAGCTCTATCCTCGTGCAGGGATAGCGGCATCGATTTACTCCCAGGTGGCAGACTGTCTGATCTGGAGTACGCAGACCACATTGTGTTGCTAAGTAAAGACCCATGTAAGTTGCAAGCTTTTCTGGATAGTTTGAGTGCTAGTGTTGCCATGTTCGGTATGCGTTTTGCACCTTCAAAGTGTAAAATGCTACTACAAGATTGGGTTGGCCCAGTCCCCAGTCTCACCCTGACCGGGGAAGTTGTAGAGAAACTAGACAAATTTCGTTACCTGGGCAGCTATATCTCACCCGTTGGACGCATCACAGATGAAGTGTCGGCGTACATACAAAAGGCTCGATTGGCATTTGCCAAATTGAGACATCTGTGGCGCCGTCGCGACATCCGGTTGTCTGTGAAGGGTCGAATGTATGCTGCAGCAGTTCGGCCAGTCCTGCTCTACGGCGCAGAGACTTGACCACTAAGGGAACAGGATAAAATAGATTGTCGGTGTTCGAACACCGCTGTCTACGTAGCATTGCACTAGTCTGGTGGGGTAACCCGACTAGCAATACTGAGGTTAGACGTAGAGTTTTAGGCGGTCGCGGTCGTCCACTGGAACAAGTGATCGACCCCCATGGATTACGCTGGTTGGGACATGTGCTACGCATGTCACCAGATAGGTTGCCACGGCGAGTGATGTTTGCCAAGGCTGGTATCGATTGGAAGAAAACAAAGGGCGGTCAAGCTAAGACCTGGCATGAGGGTCTGAAAACCCTGACCAGGAGAGTGGCTCACATAGGTTCCGTTAGGCTCCCTGGCTGGGGACCGCGGGATGATGGTCACCGGAGGTTAGAGACACTGAGCGATAGGGCTGGGTGTCGCGTACAGAGGCGCTCATGCATCTACTCATTATTCTTGTAACTTCAGTCTATGAAAATGTGCTACCTTCCGTCTAAGTCTGTTCTCAACATTATAATTATCATTCTGTTATTTTATCCAAATGGTCAACCAAGAGACAGCAACCAAAACCGGCGCACAAAAGTGCATGGCTAATGATTGTAAGAACTGAACTGATTATTCACGCTCACAAAGATTGCAACTTTTTTTCCTACTGGTTAATGACATCTACACACGCCATAAATGCAAAAAAGAGGAAGCAAAAATGATATATGTACCGTTGAATGCACGAATCTAACTCACCTTGTCGACACTCGGTGGTAGGATTTGGGGTAACAACAGTTTTATATAACTCCGACTGCCGGAATAGTGACTGGAGGCAAACTTTTGCACTTGTGCCTACACGGAAAGAAGGATCGGGAGTGAGAGAGACCAATAGTATATCAGCGATGTAACAAACATCTTCTGAGAACGTCGAAAGTGATCGTTATCAGAAACATGCACTTACATAAAAAGTATGCATTATTCAGCCATACCATGAACAGGCAGTGTTTCCCTCAAGAATACAATGTGTACAGTTGGAATTGACATGCCTATGTATATTTTTTTCGCTAAGAGACGAATATGATAAAAATGATTCAACCCTAGAAACACTATAACTACTAAAGAGCACTAAAAAAATTCTATACCGGGTTCAATGGTGTGTAAACTAATGGAATTATTCCCGTTAGCATGAGAAAAGTGGGTGAGCTCTAGAGATGGCAGGGACTTGGACATATGTCGTAAATATGTCACCGGATAGACAGACCTATTTATCGTTTCATTGATGTATAATGTAGCACACGGTGGTTAGATGGAGGACGATCAGACAGTGGCTTCGCTGGGAGATAAATCTTAACCCTATAAAATGGACATGTATGTGAGTGGTAAGCTTCGTGGTTGGAGAAATCGGGACCAGTATCATTTGACTAATTGTCCCAAACAGTGGAGTGCATGCACATACTCACATTCTGCACATTTCTCATTCATTCACAGTCGATGTTTGCCGCCCATGAGAAATTTCACATACTAAGCTGCCCCCCCCCTGTTTTCTATATCAAGTGTTTTTCTTTTTTTATCACACACCTGAGTGTAATGCACGGCAGAAAGGGCGAACTCCATAGTAACGAGGACTCGCTGTTCAGTGGTGGAAACCGACAACATACGCACGGGGACTTGGAGCGACAAACCACATAAGGCCCCGATAGGTTAGGCGCCAGCTCAGATGATTTACAGTGAATTATTCAATGTCGAAAATAAAACTGCGGTTTTCAGTAGACTATCGAATTCGATTAGTTCCGGACCGGTTCAAAGATTTTGAAACTGTCACCGATTAAAATGCTATCTACAAACGCAATATTTGATTTGTTTATATGATAAATTCATCGTGTGAATAGAGCGTGAGCTAAAAAGCTGGAAAAAGTGAGAAACGGCCTGATCAGGCACCCGGTGGTCGAATGGGTAGCTGTAAGATACTGGGTTCTATCCCCAGTTCGGTCGATCGATTCACACTGCTGATGAGACCCAACCAGATAAAAACAGCTGCCCAGTGCTTCCCAGCTTTTCAGCCCACGCCTCATTTACATGACGAATTCTTCATATCAACGATTCAAAGAAGAAAGTTGATTGCATTCCAAGAAGAACGCTGATAGCACTCCGAAGTGCATTAGTAGATGACATCGGTGAAGGCGGACAGTGAAAATACACTAGTATGCGTTTTGCAGGCATCCAGTTTCCATCTATGATGTTCCAAATAGTTTGACTCACCGCTTCAGTGAACACAGAAACGCATTGGTCGCTCGGTTTCTCTAAGGACACAGATTAGATCCCAACTTTTTAGGTGAACGGTAGGTGCAAAAATGCGTTCGTTACCGGCGCATAGCGTTTTGTGTTCCACACCGGTGATAGTGGTGCATCATCCCCACTCGAGGCGCGCCTCATGATGATAGTCACACGTTGGGAGAGATTTTACCGGAAGTTGAACCAAATTTCTGCTTCAATGGTCTTGTGACTTCCTCAGCACATTTCTGCTTCAAGGATGATGCGGAAACAAATTTATTTCTTCGCAGACATCGAAATATCCTTTGTCCTAGCCTTCTGCTTGCCATAGAAGGCTATCCATCATCAGAGGAACTGTGAAATGCAACAGTCTCTCTTTGTGTCGTTTTATTTGCTTGGAAACGGTAGACGTTAGTTGTTTTATAGGTTTCGATATCTAAACGGCGGATTTCCATGCTAGTAACTTAACAAATAACTTGTTTAGCGTTCAGCGAAGCGATATTCATCAAGTTACGTAATCGAATTTTGTGTGCACAAAAGTTTCTAACGCAACCAGACAAATTATCATGGGGCCGATTCTTCATCTGAGCCCAACCCCGCCTCCCACCTCCCCGTTGTCCGTCAAATCATTGTACTTATCAAGACTTTTCCGTATGTATATACCAGATCGTTTTATCAGTTAGTGACTGAGGAAATTAAAATAAATGTTAACATCCCGTAGTATTTGTCCTATATCTGTTCTAACGAAAAAAACTGTTGTTCGTCCGAAAAAATTGCGGAAACCGAATACCGCCCAGTTTCCACTTGTGAATGGATGGAGGTCAACTGATAGACGCGGGGATATGGCTCAAAAATGTGAATGAAG